CCATGTTTTGGGTGCTGGATTCTGGGGATTCAAAGATATGTGAGCCTCTGTCCTCAAGGGCTTCCCAACACAGTGAGAAAGACAGCGACGTAAACAGATAATTACAGTAGAATGTGACAAGTGTTGTTACAGGAGGATGTATAAGGGAAGGAAGGAGAGAAATGAGCCCAACCAGGGAAGTCTAAAAATGATTCACGGACATGACATCTTCTGACGTCTTGAAGCATAAGGAGCAGTTTGCCGGACAGACAGGGAAAGGACTATCAGAGCAGAGAGCAGAGCCTGTGGGAGAGGTGTAGAGGGGTGTGTGTGTGTCTGTATGTGTGTGTGTGTGTGTGTGTGTGTGTGTGTGTGTGTAGACTGGCAGGAGACTAAGCTGAGAGTAGAGGCAGGGCCTGGTCTCACCATGGGGAGCCCTGGGCCCCCAGCTAAGGAGATTGCACTTGATTTTGTAAGTCCAAAGGGAGCGAAAGCAAGGTTTAAGCAAATGGATGATCTTATCTGATATTTTAGAAAAGTAACTTCACGGTCCCCATTAGGAAGGTATCCCAGCACTCTCTCAGCAAGACCTCTGCTAGCCAGCTTGGGAGCCAGGCAGCCTCCACACTGAGCTTTGGGTGCCTGGTTACCAAACTTAAATCCTTACCCCTTAACCAAATTGTGAGGGGACCAAGGCCATACTAGGGCCTATCCAAGGACTCCAAGTGTGATAGGTTGAAAAACAGGAAAGAAAGAATGAAACAGTGCCCATCTCTGTCTCTGTGAGAGCATCATATTCCCCATTTTGAGGGGTATCAAGGAGCAGTTAACTTTGGGAGTAAGGAAGAGCTATGTGATGGGAAGTCAGGGCTGGGCCTGAGAGATTTTAGCAAGAAGAGGGTACAACCAAGGTCCTAAAGACAAATTCCATAGTGACCAACACTGACTAAAAGTTTTAGGAATTCACTGGGAACTGTAATGAGGTAAATAATTCATTGGGCATAAGACTTAGCATCATAGAGGAAGAAATAAAGTGTCACTCTGCAAAAGAAGGCATATGGCAGCTGTGCTAAAATGTTACCATTAATTCTGACACAGCAACATCATCATGGGAATGTGCCAAAGAGAACTCCCTGAATGCTTAAAGAAGTTATTTGAAAATACAATGAGTAGGGAAAGAATTAGATCAATTTATGGGTGCTAGAAAAGTACTCTTTTAGTACTCTACAGAAAAAAATTCTCAAGTGCTAAGTGCCAGAAATGTGAAATATATGAATATTTCCCATAAATGTTATTACTCTTGTCATCACCACCATCATGATCACCAGTCCTTTTGCCATCAAATTGTAAGTCAGATTCTCCCCCATTGAAGAACTTCAAGGTCTGATAAAGTTCATGTTATTTCAATGCCTATCTTACCACCAGGCAATGACCCAGATGTTAGAAAAAGTACAGCCCAATAAGTAATTGTTTTCCTTCCTATACAGACAACACCTATGCTAAGGTGATACTGCTCTTCATTTCCAGGAGGCTGAAGCCATAGACATGTGTATAGTAAGATGTGCCAAAGTGGCTGACTAGTGATTTATTACAACAAATAACTCAATAGGTAATTGCTGAATAAAAGCCCGTTGTGCACGAAGGTGGAGCCCCATGACAGCTCTAGCGGGAAACGCATGACATGCACTAGGTATACAATATCATGTCTAAGTCAACAGTGTGAAATGGCAAACATGGTCCTGATTGGTAAGAAGGGCAGCCTTTTCAGGCCTCTGATCTCCCTATTCATAACACTGGCTTTTTCTCTAATTCTTGTTGCGTTTTATGGCACCTGCTTCCAAGCTCTTCCTGCAAATTTTAGGTCCTTGAGAGCAGGGATGGAGTGTTGTACCCATTTAAAAGCCAGCCTAACCATTTCTACCCAGGAGAGCTAAAACACAGAGCTTCTCAAACTTCAATGTGCATTAGAATCATCAGAGGGTTCCTGGCCAACGCTCGGACCTTCTGCATGAAACCTTATAGGATGGAGCCCAAGAATCTGCATTTTAACAAGCCACCTCCTGATTAGATGATTCTGATTCAGGCAGCCAGGCAACCCATTCGGAGAACAATCCACAAGCCCAGGGCGTAAGCCTGGAGCACACGCTTTGGATCAAATAGAGCTAGGTTTTATACCAGTTGTATACTTAGTGAGCTACAGGGCAGACTCGTACAAGTTTCTTCGTGCCTCGGTTTCCTCAGTTATAATGTGGGGATGGATATATACTCATAGAAACAGATGAATACATACTCATTGCCAGGGGATGGAGGAGGGGGAATGGAGAGTAGTTGTCTATAATGGTACTGAGTTTCACTTTTGCAAGATGAAAAAGTTCTGGAGATCTGTTGTGCAGTAGTGTGAATCTACTTAACACTGCAGACTCATACACTTAAAAATGGTTAAGATGGTGAATTTATGTTATGTGTTTTTACTACAATTGAAAAGAAAAAAAAAATTTGTTAATGGGGATGGGTCATAGTATCTACCTCACAGTGTTTTTACGAGCATTACCTGAAATAAAACATGTCAAGGATGAGGCACAGTCCTGGGGCTAGCAACTGCTCAAGAAATTATAGCTATTATTATTGTTGTAGTCATGGTTGTTAAGGCTTTCAACCATGAATGAGTTACTACTTAGAGGCATTTTAAACCAAATTATATTCTGAATCTTCAAGCTGATGGAAGTTCCCTCTTCTTTTCAAAATTTTCAAAACTGGTACACCAGTTTCTCAGAAACGCACTGAGCTGTGAAACCGAAACTTATCTATGATCACACATTAAGGAATGTTTCAAACCCTCCCCACAAATTCAGGTAGCTTTTGACAATCTGCATTCTTCCAAATCCTGACCAACAGACTGTTCACATTTCACATGTAGATCCATATGTTAAAAAACCAACCATATTCTAGGTCGATGTGAAAGCAGGAGGATATTCGTATTAGGAAGTCTTGATTCTTAACACTAAAATCCTCAATTTGCAGAGATGAAGGAAACAAAGAACAAAAATGTTAACTTTTGTTTTCCAGCTTAAGCTTAACAAAGGAAGTCAAGCAAAATCTGCCACATAAAAGAAAGAAATGATTTCCCTGTCTTGAAAAACTACATGAAATATTTTGCATCTTTGATGTGCATGTGGAATCCAAAGCGGATTCAGGGAACATGGCATAGACCCAAAGCCAAGTCATCTTGATTCTCTGTGCATCATTTTGATTTCATGTGCATCTAGGCTAATTTCATCTCTATTATTATTAGCCTATTATTTAAGCTTTAGCAGGACACATGTGCTGTTTTACAGGGCCAGAATCCACGTGGTGGATGGATAACCAGGAGGCCTTTGGTCTTCATCATATACTCCAATAAGAAAACTAGACTCTCGCCTTGTAAAACAGCACGAGTCCCATGCCCTGATTTCACATGTCATGCTAACCCACAGAATATCCTTAGAACTTCTAACCAAATTCATAAAATTCATCATGGTCACAGAGACAACTAAAATTAGCTCTAGGTTGAATGAAATTAGGCACAGACCAATCTGGGAGTATAAATAGTAAAATGGGCAGATTGGAAAATGACTTAACAGTATAGGATTTTAGGCAACACAGGTGTTCATATGAATCCGATTTATCATTCTCGGGCTGAGAAGGCTAAGCACTGGTGAGAATTCTAATCCTAATGACTTTTAAATCTCTCTTGATTAAAAAACAAATTTCAAAGTCACTGCTAAGGATTCCCTGCCAATTTTTTTAACCTCCATTCTGGTATAACTCTATGTTATTATAAAAGATGAGGGTTTCCAGCGAGCCCAGGAGACCATCCCAGAAGTCCTGAATAATGACAACATTGACTGTTGAGAGGTGGTACTTGTAAAATCCAGAAATGGATGGCAATATATACAAATGGACCATCATCAAGGATTATAATTGCTCCAACCCACCTTCAGGTCTCAAAAGACCACCTGCTCCCCACTCACACCAGCATCCTTACCAACAGGTAGAAAGAAGGGGAATTAAGAAGCGCTGTAATTGAAAACAGCAAAAAGAAGTGATTAAAAGAACATGAATAACCAGACATTAATTTCAGATTCATACTGCTTCTGTCCATTTAATTCTTCTTTTTCTGAGGCACTAAAGAAACTACCTTATCATCATAATGTGGGAGTCTCTAATGAAGGCTTGAGGCTCTGAGACCCAAGTACTAGCCCCAGCTCTAACTTCTCCTAGTCAAGTGACCTTGGAGAATCACTTAACTACTCTGGGCATCAGAGTCCTCATCTAGAACAGCACTGAGATCACATGACACATTCAATGAGTATTTGCAGAAGTTTTTAAAAAGTGAATCTGTAAAATGGGTATAAATCAGGAGATCTCAGGTTCTTTCCAGGCTAACCATTCAACAGACCTATGATTTTTTGTTACAGACTCATGTCCCCTGTCATTGTAATCCTTTTCTGCAAAAGTGTGTACCAACAGAAGAATCTCTTTTTACTCAGTATAATCCTACCTTACATTTTCTCATCACATGATAGTGTTACCCCTCAATTATGTTACAACAGGAAGGAAGCATTCTTCCTTTAACCTGATCATACAATTATTTATTCAAACAATAATCAGTTGCCAGAGCATATTACTGTTTTCACAGTTCTATGCAATATTTCAAAAAGTATATAAGGAAGTATTTACATTTTCCTTCCACCCTTGTTTTCTGCTTGATTTCAAGAGTTAAATGAGCAGTTTCCAATACCTTGTGCCTGATGTTTTTCCTCTCCATTAAAATGCTGAAGTGGTTTGGTATTTTTTTCCTTTTTAGGAGGAAAAAAGAAATCTTTCCCCTGTAATTTACTTTGGCTTTCTCAAAAGTTGGGTAGGAAAGTCAGTATAATTCAGGTGGAATCTAAAATGTTCTTGTTGTACAAGTGTGTGCAGAAAGGAAGCCTGTAATTTCCGAGCATTCTTTCAGGAAGTTTGTATTCTCTGTCTTCCAGGGAGCCTTTACTTTCCGAGGGAGTGTGATCGACATGCCATTACTGAAGCAGGCCCAGAACATTGTTAGGCTTGCCATGTCCATCAAGGAAAAATGATCTGCTAAATGAAGCTCTCATCAGGTGGGCTGAACATATACAGTGGGTTCCTTAAAGACAAGCCATAATACTCAAGGCAACTTGTTAGTATGCCAGATGGGAGCCTTTCTTCATTTACAGTTCATGTTAATCACATTTTTTTTGTTTTTTGGTTTTCTCACTGGCCAGTTATTCCTCTAAAAATGAACTTTCTCCTTTTTGATTCCAAGCTTATGATTTTATTGTTCACGAATGTGTTACAAGTACAGACTTATGATTTCGCAGGGAGATAAAATAGTGGAGAGAGATGGGCTGTTCCAGGAGAAGTTTGGTCTTTAATGAAACAGATCTTTCCCAAATACGTATACTCCCTTCACCCTGCTCATGTTAGATGTTTCCCACATTGTGCATTGTTCACTCGACACCAGAAATAATTTTAAGAAAGGCCAACCTTTTAAAAAATAATAACTCAATGAAGGGTTGGTGTTTATTTCACTAGTAATCTGATAAAACAACAGAGATGGCATAGAAAAGTTGATTAAGTACCATACTGGTTTATATAGATATCTTCTAAAAATAAATCTTCAAAACTGATTACTTTAACCTCCACCACCCCACCACCCCCAAAAATGAAATATCCGTATCCTTGAACTGCTAGGTGATCACTATGAAAGCCCTCATCCTGGGTGAATGCTTTGGGTCAACAGTTACCAGCAATTAAAAAATAAATGTGCAGAAGCACAAGACCATCCATTCTCTCCCTTTATTTCCCTGTTTAACTGTTTGCCGTTGAGGCCATTTCCCCCCTGTAAATGTATGGCTGGGACAGGGCCCCCTCAGCAATAAACTTGTAGCCTCTAAGAAGACACAATGCCACAGAGCTGGTGCATATGGTCCCCTGTGAGATTTGCATCACATTAGAGATGCTGCTACAGGTCATATGGGTGGTGTGGTTAACGGGCTTAGTAAAGCTGTTTTGAAGAGGTTAACCCAGCTTGTAGTAAGGGTAAATAAACATAACAACCAGCCATTCTTCCCTATTCAGCATGTGCTCTTATATTGAAGGCTAAAGGGTATTGAAGCTGCGAAGGATCAACTTGTGTTTGCCAGAGGACGCCAATGAAATTTGAAACACCAACAATCAGAGATTTTGTTTCTGCTCCTCATTAAATCATGAGCTTTTGTGTGGAGACTCTGGACGACTGTTCTTTAAGAAATTAACAGAATGGGAAGTTCTAAACTCTACACCAACCTTTTCATGACCTACACAGCAGCAAAGCTGCTACCCTTAGACAAACACCGCGGGGAAGGCTGTTCTGTTTATTTAAATTCGTAAATAGAAAACAGTTGTTTTTTATTTTCATTTTTTACCTCCTACGCCCTCTTAGTTTATTTCCTATGTGGCCCCTACCATGTGCCCCACCCAGGGGTCTACTTTCCCCTACCCCTTCCAGTTCCTCCAGGAAGCCCAAGAGGGGAGGAGGGCTGAAGGTTATTTACAAGGAAAGGCATCATGGAACCAAAGCAAAGTGGGAGAGGCCCACGTATGGTCATACAACATCCACCTCCAGTGCAGGGCAGTTCCGACAGGCATGCAGAGGAACCTGATCCAGGCTGGGCAGTTCTGGGAAACACATGCTCTGAGACACTAACTAACATTCTCAAACACGGGGCCCGACAAGGCGGCTCTTAACTGAGATGGGATGTGCTGCGCTGGAGCCATGCCTCCCCGGGGCATCACACCCCCCAAACCCTCGAGAGCATGGGTCGTAGCTGGAAAGAAAGGTGGGAGCCTGCCTCGTCCTCGCTCGGAGGAGCTGGAAGGAGGAAGACAGTGTCTCAGCCAACTTGGGAGATGACTGGCCTCCAGCCAAACTGGGCTTCAGGGCTGCGGACAGTGACAGTGGGTAGCAGTTACAGGAGAAGCCATCCCTGCAACCCACGGCGCAGCTGTGCCCGCCTAGGGTGGTAGTCGGTGTGCCCAGGGTAGCCCAGGACCATAGGTGCCCACGCAGCCGGACCCCACTGCTCAGCACACAAACACAGGAGGACCACTCAGAAGGCAGAGGGAAGCCTCCTCTCATTTTGACACCCTCAGGGTGTTGGAAGCATAGGCAGGACCTGTCTTAAACAAAAGACGATAATAAAAGCCTTTCTTCATACTTCCCTACAGGCAGCCTCCACTTCAGCTCCGCTGTCCTGCCCGTCCTCATGTGTTGGTCCAGATAAGCCCACCTCAGGCTTTGACAGGAAGAAAGGGAGACACTCTAGTCTCCACCCCTGTTACACAGGCAACCCCCAAACCCTATAGATGGACCTCGTCAAGCCTGGGGCTCACTGAGAGCCAAACCCTCCACTCTAAGGGACCCCAGATGCCAGGGTGAAGGCATGCAGACCTCGGGAAGAGCAATCCTCTCAGCAAGGTTTCCAGGGGGCCCTGAGGGCCTGGACCTGACTAGGTGTTCCCCACCCCCATCACCAACGGGCCCACAGGTTCCTAGATTTCCAACCATGTTGGACTGGTCACCACGCCCTTTTATCTCAAACCACACTTTGTTCCAACAAAAGCACCTTGTTGTTTAAGTCTCCCTGAGTGTCAGATTTATCATCTTCCTCATAACCCCAGGGTCCCAATTATGATAGGATCATGACACTGGGACACACTAGAGCCAAAAATCTGGACCAAGGTCCTACTCTCTGAGCACAGACCCTACAAGAGGGACCCAGAAGAGGGTTTAGTCAGAGTCAGAGATCCGTCATGCCTCATTCCTTGAGGAACAAAGGCAAGGAGATGTTGGGAGACAAGAGGTATCCCCACTGTTTTCCCACCCACATCTCTCTGGTGCCTCGGGTGGGTGACGGTAATACAGGGAGGGTGGGAGGGAGGGCTGGGTGAGCTCACCCCACTCGGTATGTGACAGTGCCCAACCTGGGGAATTCCTCCCAGCTAGGAATGGACTGACTGCAGGAAGAGAACCTTGCGGTAATCTGATTAATTAAAAGCCATACCTGTTTGTATTTTGTGTAGCTCATCACAAGCTGCTTCACCATTTACCCCCGTTTAATTCTTGGGGGCTAAATTATGGGGAACACTATTAAAACGTTATCAGAACTGATGAGAAACAATTACTTAGAAAATGAGCCGGGACAAGATTGAGTTGAGAACATCAGTGGTGATCACTGCAGATTAGTTTAATAAATCATCAGGTGGAAGGCAAGACTGACTGTATGTATGCAAAGCCCCGTCATGGGAAAATGAAATTGAGATTTTTTTGGCATAATTTTTTCATTAATCTCAATAGGACCCGAGTGGTGTAGATTGTTTTATTCCCTAATACCTTGCCTGAGGGGGGGTTCCCAGTAATGTCTTCATTGTTTTACTGAGGTCTTAATGACAATCTGTGACAACCTCATTTTAATGTATAGAGGATTATATCAGTACCATCATGTTTTATTGAAATGGCGAGAGGAACTCCAGCAGAGTCCGGAGTCAGGCACTGTCCCTGAGCGCAAGTTGGGAAGTTCCCCAGCATCTGGGTGCGGTTCCCTTCAGATTTACAAGTATTGAACCGCTAACTGCCCTGACATCCTCTCCTCCAGGGACTGACTGGGAAAAGTGTCTTCAACAACGAAGACTTGCCGCCTCCAATTTGAATTTGAAAGTAACTCATCGCCTGGCATATTTTGCTGCGTAAATGGAATAGACCGTGTAGGGTTTGTTTTTTTTTTCTTTTTTTTTCTCTTCTAAAATATTATGATGAACATCCCAGCCCCTAATAGTTCTTCGGCAGTTCGGGAAACTGACCTTCAGTAGGGACGATGAATTTTCTAATGATGTCTTAAGAGGAGAAGAGTTAATACGTACTTCTTTATTTGAAGGGCATTCTGCTTCTATGGTTTCTGGTTAGCTTGGAAAGCTAAATGTCTTCCGTTCTGATTTTGATTTTTACCTCTAGTATAATACTTGGGAGGTAGTTGATGGTACAAAACAGGTTCTGAGATTAACAGTAGGATCTTGTGCATATTGATGCTGCGGAGGGTCACCGAACCGGTTTGTAACCGCAAAGCTTGCGCCCCAGGCTGGGGGACACTGTCCTCCCAGCCCTGAGACCCTCCCCCCGCCGGCAGGTTTTCACATTGCAACTTAGGGGGAAAGTAATCAGCCGACCTCAACACTTAAATGTTAAAACCTTGGTCTTTCTTTCCGCGCTTTGTTTTAAATCGGGGTGGGATAGGGGGTTAAGAGAGCAAACAAATGGAGAATAAATTACTTTCAAATACCTTAGTACCAGAAAGCTTGCGCGGTGGGACCGGGCAGCTTTTTAGTGTTCTGTGACGGGTGGTGGTGGTGAGTTTGTTTAAATTCCAGCGATTATTTGGCAACGTATTTCCTTATGAATCTATAAGAATTGCCAACGACGAAAAGAAAGTGATTTGTAGGAAGGAACCGAAATCATCTTTAGCGCCTTTAGATGGTTTGCTGCCGATCGAGCCCAGTTTCAGCTAAACGGGCTGAAGCCTACAGATTTTTTTTAATTTTTAAAATGTTTTACAAAATCTTTTGGGATTCGTTTGTCGCTCACGCCTGCCCTTTTTAAATTTCTGTGTTCTTCGGCTGTAAGCGACCCGCTCGGTTTTACTGTTTGCTTCTTGCGACAGGGAGGGCCGGCGATCTCGGGGACCGCGCGCCCCGTCGGAAGGACGTGCGCCCGCCGGGCCAGGACACGCCGAGTCCGCGTCCCCAGCGCCCGCGCTTCCCGAAGGCTGGGGTCGGGGACGCCCCGACGCGGAGACCGGCGCGGCCCGGCCGGTGCGCCCCGTGGCCCCGGTCGCGCGCGGCGGCCGCTCCCGGAGCTGCGACCGGGCGGGCGAGCGGGCGGGGCCGGGGCGCGCAGTGGGCCGGGGCCGGGGCGCGCAGTGGGCCGGGACTGCGGGCCGCCCGGAGCCTGCGAGCTTGTCGCGCAGCCCCGCTGTAATGGTGGCAGATCAAAGGCTGCCCCGTGTCCCCGCGGAGCCCGGGACAATCCCGCGCCTTTGTGCGCTGTTGCTAGGAGCCCGAGAAACTAAGAGAAAGTGTCAGGAGCATGTTAATCAGACTCGTTACAGTGTAACAATAACGTCTCTCTCGGGTCTCCCAGGCCCTGCGCACCCCGCGCACAGGCCCGACACCTGCGCGGGGCCCTCGCGCCCGCCCTGGGGACCGGCCGGCCCCTGTGTCTTCCTCCGAAGTTGGCGCCGCGTCCAGGCGCCGGGACGAGGCCCTGGGGGACCTGCCATCTCCAGGCGCATCTCGCGGGTCCTGGTTTCCCTGACCGGAGCCCGGCGCCCTTAGCCTGTCCTGCTCGGAGCCGATCCCTGGCCGGGGGACTAGCGGAGGATCCGGGTCCCCTTGCTTTTCAGTCATTGAGTGGAATTGCCCTCGTTATTCAAGCACGGTTTTAGAATCAAGAGAAAAATGAACATTCCATTTCAGATAGCTTTTTGGTGGAGTTTCTTCAAAAGATCCTAACTTTGCCTATTTTCCTATCAAATCCACAGAGGATATTTTAAGTGATAATCCCGAGTTTACAGAAGACAAACCCAAACTTTGCTAAAAGTAAAGATTTCTCGGAACTTTTTAGAGAGAATCACTTCATTCGTTCGTTTATTCATTCAACAAACATCTGTTGAGCCTGACTGGATGCCAGACAGCTAGTCGGAAAGCCGTAGGACTGGTTCCGGATGCACTTTTCTTTTAAAATTAAAATGCCCTTGTGTGAAGTGAAAGGAGGAGCAAAGGCGCAAAATAATGTCAACTGTCAAAACAAAAAGAAGTGCCATTGGCTACTACAGCGACAGTAACAGGAGAGGAGCGAATTAAGAATTTAAAGCGTTTGAAAAACTCGCCATATGCTTTGAAAACCAGCCACTTTTTTCAACTATTTTATCTCCTCCCCAATTCTTTTGGTCCCTATGAGTTCCTTCAGGCTGCAGTCCTGAAACCAGAGTCCTGCCTGAGGTCTGAGGAACGAAGTCAGCCCTTCTGCATGTTTGTAAACAGCCTGTCAGATTTGCTAAAGGATCAGACACACTGGGTCCTGGCCCCATTCTGCCCTCAGCCAGACACAGGGAATTGGAAAGCTGTGCTCAGTCTTAGGGCAGAATTTGGCCAATTCGAGGTGGTTTTCTCCAACGTGAGCTCTCATTCAGGAATCAGGATGGGCATTCCGGAAGGGCAGAGGGGCCACACTTCTTGGTGGAATATAACTGCCAAACCTGAGTCAAAGACAAAGCTTCCTGTCACCAGGAAGAATAGAAAGCAACCCACTCTCAAATCACCTGTGCCTACCTATTGACTGAGGGGGAATCCTGCAACAATGTCATACTTCTCAGTCAGTCAAAATCAGTTTCTCTCTCACACTGTGTGCAGCATGTAGACATATAGAAAACTGGAGATGGTCCCAGAGATTAGTCTAAGCCCTAGAAGGAACTTTCCAGAACTTTCCCTTCATTACATAAATAAGAGAGTTGATATACTGAAAACTCCATCTTATGAAGACAAAGGAGACCAAACACTGACTATATCGTGATGTTAAAATACCTAGCTAAAGGGGAGAAATTCAGGGAAAAGAAAACTGTTTTGCGGGGTCGGTTGGGGGGAGGGAGGATTGTTTGTTTTTTGTCTACATAATGCTACATAGCTGGTTTCGCTGGGTTTTGTTTTGTTTTTAAACAATGAATCAAATTGCCTTAGTTATTCAGACACAGTAAAGGAATCGAGAGAGAAACGAGCATTCCATTTCAGATAGCTTTGTGGTGGAGAGTTCCTTCAGAAGGCTATCCACTCTAGGCATCGGGCTTAATTTTTTTTTTTTTTTTTTCTAATGGGCTCTTGAGTTCCATGGAAGGAAGAACATAAAACCAACATGAACTTCTGGCTTAGAATCTCTGGGAAAACTGTGTTAATAACCCAAACTCCCAGACGAGGAGAGGAGCACATCTGTTTCCTCCATGGGATTTCCAGGGACTGGAATTCATGCAGCAGCTTCCAGGGGAGCTCTGTGATGCCTTTCCCAGTGTGGTGTGAGGGAGCTCCGGCCACCAGGAGCCTCACTGGCATTTCCACACCAGCCCAGCGACACGTCGCCTCCCCCACGGGGCCCTGGCAAAGGCTCTACACAAGCTGTAATCCCTCCCTCTCCATCATACCCAATAAACTCCTAACCATTTTTCAAGACACAACCTGAAGACCACTTCTGTGAAGTCTTCCCAGCTACCCAGAGACAGCTTGCTGGCCCTCTCCCAGTCCTTCCATTGCATTGGATCAGATTTCTATTGTAGTACTTTGTGTGTGTGTGTGTGTGTGTGTGTGTGTGTGTGTGTGTGCCACAGCAGTGTGGAGGCCCTGAACAGTGGACATTGCCATGTACCCCAGATCCCTCTCCCGCTCACCTCTCTCTCCCCACCTCATCCCACCCCACCCACCCACCCCCCCCGCAAGAACTCGCTAAAGGTGTGTTCAGTACAATTAGGCCCTGAGACATCTGTTCCTCCATCAGACATCTTGCCTCCCAGATTTGTGCAAATATTGGCCCTTTTAGTGCACTTGCTCAAGGTCACACAGCTGGCAAAACCAAGACTTCAACTAAAGTCTGGAAATGAAACCACTAAACCACACAGTTGCACACCCGAGAACTCCCCAGATTTATAGCTTCACATTAAGTTCCCGATGAAGGAAGCTCTAGATGAGTTTTTTGAAGCAAAAAGAAAATAGCTGAAGCCTCTTTTTCAACAGCTGCCTGCCTCAGAGACACTGCCTGACCCTGGCACGGGTATGTGAACTCATCACAATTCAAACAGCCAATCATCCAGTGCAACCAGGAAGCTGGGCAACCAGGCAAGTCCCTCCTTGAGGTAGGCCTTCATGCCCCCACTCTCTGCCCCTCCCAGACTACACAAACAGTCCCTCGCACATTTTGCAGGATGGTGCGCTGCGGGGGGAGTGGCCTAGTGGCCATGGAGAATGTCGTAGGTGGCATAAGGAAAGGCGTTCCAGTGGAGGGATAAAGGAGCAGGACACAGGCTCAAGGACAGAGCCGGGTTCACTCCCCATACCTCCTCTTGTACCCTCCCCACTCCTGCGGCCCTCCCCTCATGGCCCCCATCATTCTGTGCATCACCTCTCATTCCATATAGTCCCTCCTCTGGCTACTGTCCTGCTTCCATTTCCCATTTCCTTTTTCTTACAATTTTACCTTCCTTCCTCTCATCGCAATTCCCAAACCAAAAAAAAAAAAAAATTAACAAATGTAGGAAAGAAAACAAAAGTGGGTAAAAATGTACCTTTTTAATGATTTCTAATGTTTTTTCCGTGTTTTGGAAGTAAATCTAGTGTCTTAAGCTGTGAGCTGCTGGCAGGATGCTGTGTAGTCCTTCATTTACTGTGAACTTGGCACAGGAAGTTTACTGGCCCATTTTACTGCAGAGCGCCTGAGTGCAGAGGACAGCTAATGCTGTACTTTGGGAATCAACGAAGAAATGTCAGTGAGGCTGCTAATTATTCAGTAAATTAAATATTGCTGCCACAGCTGCTATTTCTAATGTCCTACATTTGATCATGCTGTCTTAATGCAGAGCCAACATTCAGATTCTATTTAAGCGATAAAGAAGATGAGGACCTGGCAAACTGGTTGTTGGTTCTTTATGTTTTAGGAGAAGTCATTTGAGTGTGCAGCCTGAAACTCATGTGGGAACCCAGAATGATGCTTACACATGACAAAGTTTAAGGATATAAAATTTCATTTCTGTCCTTTTCTTAACTTTATTTCGGGGGAGGACGTTGCCAGAAAGGTAACAATAAATGATTATTTATAAAAACAGGTATTTTCAAATTATGATAAACATTCCATTTAAGATTACTGAGGATGTGACCCCCCCAAAATCATTTTTTTCAACTTTGCTTCATAAAGACCTTTTTAAAAAACAATCAGTCTTTATATCACCTAAGGAATTTTAAACTGTGACATATATTTATGAGAATATTTAAGGTGAATATTTTCAAAATAAGTAGCAAATGAATGGGTCGTGAATTTGCGTGCACTGCCTCTGAAAATGAGCACATTTGAAAACAGTTTGTTCAAAAGGCGCCATTGGCCTTTTCCCTTCCTTCTCAAAGAGCATATGTGTTGCATTAGTACTCAGAAAAGAGCGTGTTTTCATAGCCTCCAGTGCTGCGTTTATAAAAATCATGATGATTTTAGGACTGCACCTTCATTTTTTGAATTTTCAAAACTTGTCCCTTTTTGCACTTTTATTTTCTTTCAACAAAACAAAGACTGGAGAACCCCTTTAAGAAATTTTATACATTCCCACAGAGTCCCAGTTTGTTGACCTTCAGGCCACAGAGTAAAACCTTTCTTTTAAGTCAAGCATTCCCCATTGGGAAGCACTCCAGCTTTTTCTTTTTATGAGGAATTTTAACTGCTGGACTTAATTTAATTATTGTATTTTGTACATACTCCCTGGAGCCCCAGGGCATGAGCTTTACTTTTTTCTAAACTTTCAAATGAATATCTTTAGAAATGCACATTTCTGATGGTAACCTTACTTCTTCCACTTGTATTTCTAATCTAAATACCAAACTTGGATCATTCTGTTTCCTGACTTATTCCTGGAGAGGCTTCAACCTCACATCTCTTTGCCACAGATACTGTTCTTGAGTAGACATGGAATATAGTCATTTGAGTCCAGAATGTGGGAGCCCGGGTTTCATAACAAGAAAATAAAAACCATCTCCAGTTGAACTACATTTTAAAACTTGATGGTTCTGGGGACATAGTCTTCAATAAGAAGGGTTCCTAGGTTGAAATCAGTAGCATGCTGGTCCCATGGCTGCAGCCTGCCACCATCTGTCCCTATGGTTTCTATGAGATATTCCCACAACATCAGCTGCTCCTCCCGGATCCCAGCAGAGGTTCATGTGCGAACACACACACACACACACACACACACACACACACAGGGAGTTGTCATCCCAAGCTAATGGCAAAGATTCAATATCTTTATTTCTCACCTCTCTTTATCCATAAACATTTTCATTCAAGCCTTCTGATTTCCACCTGGAAATCAAAAACTTCGACCACATCTTGACTCTCAAAGGTGAAAAATAATTTTTGGGGTATTGACTTAAAACTCATATAGGAATATTGAAATGTGGAACAAACATAAACTTTCCAAATTCATAAGCTCTGCCCAAAATATTTCATGAGGGTTGGGCCACTTATGAAGTAAGTTTCATTGTAGGACTTCTGAGACCTCTGAATTTAGGAAGATGTTTTTAACTAGAATTATCTGCTAGGTGAATCTGATTTTCTTATTTATTTTGATTTAAAATTTAAAATTATAGATACCACAGCATTTTGGTACCAAAGAAGGACTTCTGAGATCATCTAGGCCAATGATCTAGACCCTGGCTGCATATTAGAAGTACCTGGCGAACATTTAGTAAATACTCTTGTCTCACCCATCATTTTGCAGATTAAAAAGAGAAACAACCAAACAAAACTCTGAAAGATGCAACATGGCTTTTACATTAGAACTGTCTAAGGTACAATACTGTAACATGATTTGGGAACTCCTGGCCATGCTAAACTTTACAAAGCAAACTTAATTAAGTTTCCATAATTATGTTTTGGACCACATGAATTGTAAAATAGTTGACTGATTCTTCCCACATGATACACTTTCTAATTTTATACACATTCACATCCCTGACTGATCATAGAATAGGTTGGAATAATCACGGCCTTGAAACGTCTCACATTTAATTTTTAAAATAAGGTATACTTGTGTAGATGGCTGCCCTTCCTGAAAATTCATTTAAGTTTGCCCTTTGCAGTGGCAGTGTCATGCTTCTTGACTAATATTCTGCAAATTTATTTTTCTTACATATATTTAAAATATATAGGCAAAAAGCAGTATTTCTCCTAGTGTCATCTGACGATCACAAAACATATGAACCATAGAGCTTTACATTGTACCATTTTTATAAAAACAGAAGCAAAGAAACATCAAATAACAACTCATCCGAGTGAGAACCACAGCCCCATGAAGGCAGAAGTGAGCTTAGCTATCACCTCTGATGGCCTCAGGAGAGCAAAGGGGGGCCACGCTGAGAGCAAGGGCTCCTTCTGGTAAGAAGCCTCAGCTGGGGGCTCCGCGGGCCTTTGAGCCAACTTGGTAATCGCTTACCCTCACCCCCCTCCCCCCAAAACAGCACCTCCCTCACCTTTCCCACTCCTCCTCAGCTGCCTCCTTCTCCCCCTTCCCCATCCGGGATGGCGGATGGCGGGATGGTGTGCTTGCAGATCACGAAGGGAAAAGGAGAGCTCCAGTCACTTTGACTGGAGGGCCAAGGACCTCCCGGGAGAGATCCAGGAAGCTTTGATCTCAATTATTTGCCTTGGGCTGAAAGACCTCTGTTTGGCCGATCCTCTAGGATCCTAATAAGGCCAGGACCTGGGATCACAGATGCAAACCTTTTTTCTTTTTCTTTTTTTTAACGAAAGGAATGCTGAGATGCAATGATTAAAGCTGTAGAGTTACTAGGAGATGCTACGTTAACATAGGTCATACCTGCATAAGAATACGTTCATTAATTCACTCCTCCAGCAGATACTAATTGAGCTTCTGTTGTGTGCCTGCGGTGAGTGACGTCACTGTGGTAGTGATGGGCTGTGAGGGTAACCCGGGGGTGGCCCTAAGGCCCCTGTGTCCAGTAGCTCCATCAGAAGGGAAAGCAGGTGGGTGGCTAAAGCCTTTCTTATTCTGGTTCTCCCGCCCCACCCCCGCCCTGCATCCTGTTCTAATTACTCTTTCTTATCCTTTACAACAGACATGAAAATTAACCAAGATCATAGCTCCAGGCCTGAGACCAAAAAAAAAAAAAAACGAATAAAGTATCTTAGAGGTAGATTCCCATAAAAAGAAAAAGTTTATAAAAAGATAAAAAAAATTTAATGGCAAAAACTGCTGAAAAATGTTAACGATGGGATTTTGGATTATCCGTATTTTCTAAAATGGACATTTATAATCAGAAAAATGTGTGTTACCATTTAATTTTGTTGTTGTTTTAAGTAAGGATGACTAGAAGTGAGGAAAATAAGTCTAGGCAAAAATCAGAATTTGGATGAGAGCGAAAGTTCATTATTACAAGAGTAGTCAGAAATTGGACCAGAGAAGATTTAAAGCAATAAGCTTTTTGACTATCAAACTAAATCATATTTTGAGTGATAACCTCCAAGGCCCAGCACTCACAAGGCTGATGGCAGTGAGGCTAGGTAGTCCTCCTGGAAAATATTTGGCAATGAGTGTCCACAGACTTACTGTCACTTGTGCCTTTTACATTGTATCTGGGAAATTATGTGATCCTAAATACAGAAAAAGCCTCATTCACAAACACAACTCACAGTTGCGTCGTTTAAATTAGAGAGGCATGGAAACCATGATGGAATATTAGGCAGCCACTTAAAGCTTGTGTTTCTGAAGAAAATAAGAAAAACCTTTGTTCAAAAACAGATACCGGACTTCCCTGGTGGCACAGTGGTTAAGGATCCGCCTGCCAATGCAGGGGACACGGGTTCAATCCCTGGTCTGGGAAGAACCCACATGCCACTGAGCAACTAAGCCCGTGCGCCACAACTACTGAGCCTGCACTCTAGAGCCCGCAAGCCACAACTGCTGAGCCCGTGTGCCACAACTACTGAAGCCCACGCACCTAGAGCCCTTGCTCTGCAGCAAGAGAAGCCACCACAATGAGAAGCCTGTGCACCCCAACAAAGAGTAGCGCCCGCTCGCCACAACTAGAGAAAGCCCGCGCGCAGCAACAAAGACCCAATGCAGCCAAACAAGAAATAAGTAAAAAAAAAAATTAATTTTTTAAAAATCAAAGAGGAAAAAAAATTCAGAAAAAATCCCCCAGATACCAAGCTGTATATGTAGAGTCTAGAGCTGGACTGTCTGGCCTCTACTGCTTACTTTTGAGTAATCTTGGGCAAGGAACTAGGCTTTCTGTGCCTCAGTTTTATTATCTGTGAAATGGAGGTAATAGTGGCACCTATCTCATAGAATTGTTATGAGACTTAATTGAGTTAATACATATAAAGTTGAGTACCTGACACATCAGGGCCCTCAACAAATGTTAGCTGCTATTACTATTATAATGTGATTACAACCATGTTAAAAAGAAATCACAGGGCTTCCCTGGTGGCTCAGTGGTTGAGAGTCCGCCTGCTGATGCAGGGGACGCGGGTTCGTGCCCCGGTCCAGGAAGATCCCACATGCCGTGGAGCGGCTGGGCCTGTGAGCCATGGCCGCTGAGCCTGCCCGTCCAGAGCCTGTGCTCCGCAACGGGAGAGGCCACAGCAGTGAGAGGCCCGCCTACCGCAAAAAAAAAAAAAAAGAAAGCACAACAGAAGAAAATACACCAAAATGTTAGCAATTACTGTGTTTGGATGTCGAGACTACTGGTGATTTTCATTTTGTCTTGTTTGTACAGTTTTGTGTTTCCAAATTTTTCGTTAAATGTATATCAAAAATTAAAAAACTAATTTAGAGCTAATTATAAACAAAATCTATGTTTGAAACACTGCTTTTGATCGTTCTTCAGTTAAACCTAATAAGCCCTGAGTAGAGAGGCCCCGGCAGGAAGTTTTCATATGATCTGAAACCTCCTGCTGCCAGGACTCAGGCACCGGCTTCCAAGGACTCCTTCTGCCTTGGGCACCACGGTCACTTCTTGTCACAGGAAGGACAAGCTTGGCTGTGTCGGGTCGTGGGCTGCGCCCAGGATTGGCATGAAAGTAACCTGATTTCCAGTCCCCCCTCTGCCACTTACTACCTGTGTGTTCTGGGGAAAAGCCTGCTCCTTCTCCATAAGGAGAGATCTTGATGCAGTTAGCAGCCTCAGAGAATTAGAAAAGTGGTTGAGGGAATTTTTGAGATACTGCCTCGGTTGGAGGGAAGAGAGATCCTGAACTCTGTGATTCTCCACTCCAGCTGTCCAGCCTCGGAATTCCCTCTCCCAGAGTGGAGGGCCCATCTGCTCTGTTTACACACCTGGACCTGGTGCGAAGGGCGGTTAGGGTGGCTCCCTGACCATTTGTGGAATCACCCCTGCTTCCAAGCAGCATGCTACAGGCAAGCCTTCAAAGAAGTACCAGAAGCCAAGTGCAGTCTCTGTCATCACTTAATAGTGCTTGAAGCTTTTCATATAACAAAAGGGGATGAAACAGCCCTACCTCACGTTGTGGGAACCCAGTAATTCTTCCACTGGCTCTACGCCAAAAGGGTTTTCTCTTACCTTTAAATATTAGATGTGACTAATGTGGGCCACCAATGCTCCTGGTAAATAAAATAGGAATAAAATAACTGTTTGCAGCTCGACTTCATCACACACTATGGAAAGGAGGGAATTGATAACTTGAGATGACAAATAACCTAGTATTATTTTTGGCAAAAATAGACAAATGTGTCCAATTTAAAGAATGTCAGCATGATTTTTCTCTATCCTTGTGAGGTTGGAATCAAACGACAGAGACAGAAATTTTATCTACTTTCTTCATTCCTAGCACTGAGCATGGTACTTGTTCTTAATAAATTTTTGTAGAATGAATCAGTTAATGAATTGATGAACAAATGAGACAGGGTCTCTTCTCTATTGTGTTAGATAGTGGGGATATAGAAATAAATACCTCAGAGTCCCACTCCTAGAAGCTCACTCTAGTAGTGGAGCCAGACACACAAATAGAAAAATGACTCAAATACAACGTGATTGATTCCTAAAATCATACCACTAATGTTTCATGTAGTCATGTTTCAGTGTAGTCATGTTTCAGCTCCTCCTATGTGTCAGGTACTTATACACAGTAAAATGTAATCCCTTCCTTCAAAGTTCACGGTCTAATCTGGAAAACAAACACGAAGCACAAGGCACAATACCACCAGGAAAGCAAAACAGAAATAGGGACTTGATAGAGAGGCAGCACGGTATAATTTAATCATGTGGACTCTGGCATCAGACTGCTTGAGTTCACAAAGCTGTGTGACTTTGGACAGGTTGCTTAGCCTCTCTGGCCTTTAACTGTCCCATTTGTAAAATGAGGTTAATACTGGGACCTATCGTATAGGGTTGTTGTGGGAGTGAATGAGTTAATATCTCTAAAACTCAGGATAGTGCCTAGCTTGTACTAAATACCAAGTACAAATAAATCTTTCCTATGTCCTCTGAATTTTAAACTCTCATTAAGAACTCTGTTTGGCTTTCTCTTTGTGCATGCCTGATGATTCTCCCCAGAAAGGACTTGTGACCAAACAACTCCAAAACTGTGGACTCGGGTTAATCAGGGAAGGAAAGGTAAGATTCCTGTCTGTTTGTGGAAAATAATGACCATTTAGCCAAAAGAAAAAAATTCTCAAAGCCAAAAGACACCTAGATGAGGACTGCAAATTCATTCTAAATAACCACTACTCCCTTATCCCTGGTCCAGGGCAGACATGGCTAATCAACCTCAGAATCCTTTCCAACTGAGTCTAGAATCAGGCTCAGAATTGTTTCCAAACAGGGCCCCAGGCAGTGACTGTAAACCAGTGGCAGTCTCTGTGTCTCCATGTCTCTGGCCTAAACCTTACCTTAGGGTCAGCTTCAGGGTCATTTTTCTCACTGGACACTGGACAGGCCTTCCTGTCGCCCTGCTGCCAGAGGCACGGTGTGACAGCCCTTCTCCCAGGGCTGAAGCCCAGCTCCCACCGTGGCCTGCCAGCCTTCACTCCTGAGAGATCACCAGTCGAGCTGGTTCTACTCTGCCCTCCCTTGTGGGTCCGTGGCCACTGGCTAACTCTGTGACCTCAGCTAAGCAAGTGACTTAACCCCTCTCTGAGCCACCGATTCCTTCTTGGTAAATAGGACCTCCCTTAAGATTCTCGTGAGGATTGAATGTGATCGCGTATGTGAGCGGCCCCAGCTGGAGTGGGCTCTCGGTGAAGGGTAGGTGCTGTCTTCCCTCCAGCGAGGCACAGCACCTTCGTGACTTCACCCCCAGGGTCCTGCATAACATGAAACAGGGTTGGGGTGCTCCTGAATAAGGCACCGGGGCCCCCACTCAACACAACTGCCAATGAACTCAAGGTCATATGGGCTCAGACAGCCGGGAATAGGTGAAGGCCAGGGGGGTAGGAGGGGTGAGGAATGGGGAGTGAGGGGTGCCTGAGGTGTGCACAGGGACTCCGTCACAAACCGTCTTAGGAAACGATGGGAGGGGGCACTGGAGGGTTTATATTACTCCCATAAGCCGAGAGGGGGCCTTGCACACAGCCCAGGGTGAGACCACAGGGACAGTCCCTCCTGTCTGCCTTCTCCACCTCCTAACTCAGGGCTAAGACCCCCTATTTCCGGAGCCGCTCTCATTACCTCCTCCCAGCTGGACCTCGGTATGGATGACTCACTTATGAGTTCCTGTCTCCTCTACAACTGAGAGGGTTGTTCCCTGAGAAGCCTTGGCTGTCTCCCTCTGCCTTGTCTTACCGAGTATGTGTGTGATATCCCTCGCCATCACCCAGAGGAACAGGTCCTGCTCCCATCCCATCCCCGACCCCGAAGAAGCAGGCTTGCACCCTTTGGACCCAACCCATATTCAAGTCCAGCAAGTGAGTCCAGGGCTGGCGTCTCTTGGTCATTCACGGGACAGCCTGTGACCCTCCTCTCCTCCCTGTACCCACCGCTCTTCCTGGGCCTAGCCTGAGAGGCAACTCCTCCAGGGCCCTTCTCTTAAAGGCTCTGTCAACATTTTCAATTCAGGCTTCTCCTTCTAGAGTTTACAAGTCAACTGGCAAACAGAGTGAGCCCAGGTGGAAAGGTGCCTTACAAGGGAGCACATCCAGGCAGAGAGCCCAATGCAGCCACTCGGCACTGAAATCTTGGCTAATTTAATATCTACAGTAAACATGGATTTGTGTGGAATGCAGCCGCTTCTTTTAATTGCTCCAAATAAATATCCTGGGTAATTTTAAGAGAGAGTCTGCAGCAGCAGCGCGAGCCTTATATTACCAGGAAGTGCTTCGGGGTATTGTGTGCTGAGAAAGGCGTTACATAAATTGAAACTCCTTTTGCTCAGAGCCGAGTCCTGAAAGTTCATGCCGTGAGAAACATTTCTCACCATGCACAAACTGAATTGTATATAAAATTAAATTTTCTGATTAAAATCTTCATTGTTGGACCTCCTGCTGGCTGCCACCATTTTGCCGAAATAAGATACTATTTGCGGTAATGGCAACGGGGGAAACCTGTTGGTTGTAAACTGGCTTCACTCTTACAGCTTAAAAATCTAGAGAGCTGTATTGTGCAAACATTGCATTTTCCATACAAATATTACAGAGCCAGGCTTTACTACTGATTCATCAGCCAGGGTGCAAGCAGGTTTACATGTCCGACCCTGACAGCCCTAAATCTCCTGCACACCCAGCCCAGCCCTGGGAGGTGGAAGGCGCCAGCAGGAGGATGAGACGGGCATATATAACTGTCTGCTGTTTTCTAATTTAAAAAATATTTTTCTTCACAAGCGCATTATTATTTGAGTGAGGAAAGAATATAGAGGAAAAGATGGGGCCTAGGAAGAGTTCAAATTTAAGAGACCACCCTCCCCCAACCCCTGGCCCTGAAAACTGACAGGATTACTGCCTTTGAAGGATTTACCCATCCCACCCCCCAGCCCCCAGCCCCTCTCTCTCCACTGCCACCTCCAAGCCCCAGTTCTGAGAATCTCCCTCATAGAAATCAACTACAGCTCTGCACAGCATCACCAACAGAGGCGTCCAGGCTAATAATTTTGTTTGACAAATACAGAATCTGGACCCAGAAAATGAAGGTTGTTTTTTCCTAAGAAGGTGTGCGCTCGAAATTAGAACCCCGAGGGCTGATTTTCATCTTTCGCTTCCCTAGCTTTCAGTTCATAAGTGAACTCGCTCCAGAAGTCCACATCGGCCAGGCACACATAAATATTTTTTACTGCCTTCCATCTGTTAGAATAGATTGTCCCTCTCTTTCATTTTGTAAATCATTCTGTTGCTTGGGTAATCCAAAACAGCTTTGACTTAAAAAGGAGGAAAGGGTGGGGTGCGGGAGGATTTAGCAAAACGATCGATCCAGTTAGGTGTAGCTCGTATTTTGAAAAAAACAAAGCCAAAACGAACTGATTTCTTAAGGAACGACCTAGTCTGAATACGATGAGTCTCACCAAATCTTTTTCTAGAAAAGAGCATGCAGGTTACTGGTACAACCAGTGCTAGAGTAGAATAAACTAAGCTACCTTCTCTGAGGGAGCAAATGCAAGGGAAGTGGGTTGAGGTGAATGGGAGCTCTAAGACCCCAAGTTCAAAGGCACAGCTCACCTGGAAGGCACTGAGGTAAAATGGGTGGGATCTCACACACACCCCATGTAGGGCTCAGAGTGTTCTTCTGCAGCTTCTTTGCCCTAAAAGCCAACCCTAGGTATTCATATGCATTCATCTAAGCTGTCCCACCTGTGGGGAAAATAGCTGGGAGTAGAAGCAGGAAGTGCCCAGTAGGGTTCCTGACCCAATCCCCTGCCACCACGTATTACCTTTCTATAGATAAGAGCTTGGGGAAACTACTATTATTATGCCTACTTCTGTTTCAGTTGCATAATGATTTAATAAATTAAAATAATTTGCAAATCTATGAATTAGCTATTTTTGAAAATTATTCCATTGGCTTTCTTTTTTCCCTCTAAACCTCCCTTGTGTTTTCTAGTCTTTCATAGTTTCCATGACTCTAATTAGCACCAACCTGAATTTCTTACATGGTCATAGAGTGGGAAAAAAATATAATCTGTTTCCCTTCTTCTCTTCTTAACTAACCATCCATATATGCCCTCTGTTTGAAAACCAATAATAAAGTGAGTTATAATATTTCATCCACTCATTCAATAATGTCTTGAATTAACGGGGTGCTAAGAGCCAAACTATTATGCCTCTCTCACTCAAGAGTTCTGTCAGCCTGAGGAATACATCAGAAGTCCTAGCTTTACTGTCTTTTAAACCAGGATTTAAAGATCCCAAGAGAGAGACTTCCCTGGTGGTCCAGTGATTAAGACTTGCGCTTCCACTGCAGCGGGCTTGGGTTTGATCCCTGGTCGGGGAACTAAGATCCTGCATGCCGTGCGGTGCAGCCAAGAAATTCTAAAAAATGAAGGAAGGAAGGGAGGGAGGGAGGAAGGAAGCAAGGAAGCAAGGAAGGAAGGAAGGAAGTCTACAAAAAGAACTTACATGTGATGGTGCCCCCTTCTCCCAACTTCACTTCCTTCCTTTGCCTTACTTCCTGCCTCTTTGCAAGTAACCAAGAATCCCTAGTCCTTTCCTTGTTCTCTATAGGGCTCTGCTCCCCAAAGGATCCCTTTCCATGGCTCCATTATCTCCTCTAGTCTTGAGCAAAGATGGAATGCTTGACCTCCCCATACCTCTGCCCAAACTTTGCCTACATTTTTGTTCCAGGTTTCCATTGATTTCTTTGAATAGTCATCAGTTGTTTCCATAAGCAAAAGTCATCAACAATATTCTACCGACTTTCCAGTTTGAGCAAGAAGACATAATGCCTGTCCCTGTATAGAGCATCAAAAGTCAAGAACAGGGCTTCCCTGGTGGCGCAGTGGTTGAGAGTCCACCTGCCGATGCAGGGGACACGGGTTCGTGTCCCGGTCCGGGAAGATCCCACATGCCGCAGAGCGGCTGTGCCCATGAGCCATGGCCGCTGAGCCTGCGCGTCCGGAGCCTGTGCTCCGCAACGGGAGAGACCACAACAGTGAGAGGCCCGCGTACCGCAAAAAAAAAAAAATAATAATAATAATAAATTTTTAAAAAGGCAAGAACAGGACAGATGCATCCAAAAATGATTCAAGATTTAATAGAGCCAACCAGACCCTGCTCATGTGCCCTGGCAAGCACAGCCATCGAGTGGGCAAGCCCTGACAATGGGGCAAGAGGGAACAGCAGGGGTAAGGAGGAACCCCAAGGACCAGTGGTACTGCCACCATCCCACCACCGAAACCAAGGCCCTCATGCCCAGGCATATATTGAAGGGCTAGACAGTGAGGCCTTGACCCCCTTAGGGGTATTGGTGGAGATTCCTAAAAGGGATGGAAATCTCAGTCTCCATCTCAACAGATGGGTCCTCAGATAGGCATCTGCAATTCTGATGGGATAGCCATCACCCAGTTTTCTTCCCCATTGGTTCTCCAAAGAGAAAAGCCAAGCCCCCTCCCTCCATGAACCTACTCTTCCATCACAGATTAGAAAGGCTCCAGGTTGATCAGGCCGATAGCCCTGGCAATCACTCTCTTCCCCAGCCAGAATGGTGAGCTGGAAACCTGTCATTCACCAGCAAGAAGAGGATCCAGGTCAGGCTCATCTCCCTTCTTCTCTCTCCCTTCCCTTACCTCCCCGTCCCTCCATCTTCCTCATGGTATGGAGTGTCTTGTTTCTATCTTACTTCTACTTCTTGTCCCCTTCTTGAGTTCTAGCTCTTTCTTTTAGGTTGGCAGACACCAGAGGGCAACATAATCTCACCTACTAGTCAGTTCTTTCATTTCACCAGTAGAGGGAAGAGTTTGAGAGAATCTACAAGAACTAGGAGGTGTGTGGAAATGATTTTGAAATATGGAATTAGCTAGCGCGATAGAACTGCTCTCTTAAAGGCATCTCGTGCCAAGGCATTCTGTTCCCGTTGGTAAATAATCTGTTATAAAACGGTTGCAATGCATATTAACTCACCAGAGCACGACACTGGCAAAATTTCCCTCCAGGCTATATTTTGCAAAGAGACAACTTTTCATGTGATGTGAGACCTGAGATTAAACTAACAGAAGTCCTACATTATTCAAGGTAAAGCTGACACTCCATCCCTCCCTCACTGCTTAGTCTTTTGAGATCTGGTTTTTATTTTGTTTCTGAAATAATTGGTAAGGCATTTAGCCCTGAATGGCTTGTTTTGAGTACCTGTCATCATAGGACTCTAGGTGCTTTGAGGGTGCATGGAGCTTAGTTGGGCAAGTGAAGCTGAGTCAATCAGAAGAATTGATTACGAACCAAGCAGCAGGGCTCTCGGGGCAATAAGTGCCCATGTGGCGCCTGCTAAACTTGCAAGAGCCTGCTTCACCAGGGCCTGCCCATTCCACCACGCATACTGAGGGAATTAGAGCAGGTTCCTTTTGAAAATGGTTTAGAAGGGAAGGATTCAGAAGTTAAACTTGTGCCACTGAACTGACCATTTACCAAATAATTACCCTGACCAAGTTAGCACTAAAACCTTTAAAAAGTAGACAACATGGAGCTAAGCAATCTGCTCAACCATTGCAATTTGCTCAATTGTTTGGATCTAATTACCTGGCCTGTATATTTTCTGCTTGGTGTCCCCAGCCTTTGAACCATTTCCAAAGCCAGAGCTTTATAGAAAGGGTCTTTGAGAACCCCTTTAGATAGAGTCTGTGATTCTATCCTTCTTTAGATGGATGTTTTTATCCGAGTTGCTGAATTTATCCATATAACTTTGCCTCCATTTCTTCATCGACATCCTTTCTTTGATTAGTTATCTAAAGCAAAGGTTCTTATCCTGAGGTCCAGAAGTAGACTTGAGCACTTCCATGAATCCCTTGAAACTGTGAGTAAAATTCTATGTGTATGTACATAATGGTCCTTCAGGTGAGGGGTGAGGGCCCATAAATGTCATCAGATTCTCAAAGGGCTCCATGACCTCCATCTTGCAACGATGCAATCATGATGTTCACCAGACCAGAATTTCCCCAGTCAATGTGCACGAACTGGTTCCAGGTGTGTGCTTGAGCCTCTGATCGCCTCAGCCCTTGGGCGACTGGACAGGGCCAGGCATGGCTGGAGCTTCCAAGCTGCCCAGTCACTATAACAATATTATTTTCTCTGTGTGCCACAGTGGATAAAATGTTGGAAGCACTACAGTAAATTTTCACTTTTATCGCATCCACCATCTTTGTACTGTGCATCTCTTCCTTCAGCTCCATGGCCTTAATTATCCAGAGGGAAGCTTGGCACTGATTTGGCCACCTGTGGTATAATCTGCACTTCATATCCTTTAGCAGGAAAGAAAGTGGTGTGGTCGTCTCCTCTTCCTGAGAATGCTCCCTGGCACACACAGCTTGGAATTTGCTTTGCCGGCCATGTGGTGGTAAGTGAGACCAGCTCATTTCCCCGTTTCCTGGGCTATTCCTTTTGCTAATCCCACGCATCTGACCCTTTCCTGTAGTAGCTCGTATGCCAGTTCCCTAAATGGCTCCCAGCTTCATTACCAGTATTCCTCAAAAGCGCTCTCATGCAAAGATTCTTTCCAACCAAGAAAGACATTAAAGTCTTACACAGAACCCATATATAGCCAAATTCAAACTCAAACGTAACAAACAGGGCAGGCAAATTCCCATGACTCCTGGCTGACACAGAGCATCCCCAAACTAGCGTGACTGTCCAAGCCTTCCCCTGCCTAGTCCAAAACACACAAAAGGCCTCATGTTCCAGACCGGACTAGCCATCCACGGTCAGTCTGGTCTCATTACCTAACGCTCAGATCACATTGTTTTACTATCACTAATTTCATAATTTCGGTAAACTAAGAAGTATGCCATTCACTTAGAATTAGTTTAGGATTCTGACTTTCATATGAATGACTTCAACAAAGTCTTGCAACTGTCTGCTGTACTTCACCTGACAATTTCAACATTTTGATCACCTAATTCTTAAATATTCTTCCAGCCCACCTCACATTCCTACTAGAGAATGAAACTATCACCTTCTTTTTACCAGTTAGCCAAGTTGACAGCCCAAAATGTCAACAACGGTTTCTAACATCTTCAAAACTTTCTTCCTCCCTTCTTACCTGAACTGCCTGATCTAGACACATCCCTCACCTATAACTTTCTTGTCAATACACAATTTCAAAAATACGTTACTTCTGAGAGGAAAGAAATTGCTGCTAATCCATAAGGAACTGTAAGTGCATGTTTCTTAAATATGTAAGTGTAATGTTACTGACGGGGAGGTTACGTAGGATAAAGTAAGGAATGTGAGATGGAGGATTCAGGGAGGGATGGGAAGAGTCCACACACTGTCACCATCACAGAGCCCCAGGTGTGCAGACTTCACTTTGCTACCCAAGGAAAGTCTCAAGCCCACAAAGAAGTCTTTTCTTAAAACCTACCACGTCTAATTCTAAAATAAATTAATTATTCTTAGAATATTTCCAACTATAGTTAGAAGGCTTCTCCCACCGGGTGCTCCTGGCCAGACTGTCACAGAGCGTTGTTCAAGAATGTTTATACCAATATGAGCTACTTCCTTCTTAATCAAACTGACAACCAGACTGAATTCAGAATCCCTTTACTTGAAGGCTATAATCCCTGGTAAATCCTTTAAGAAAGTAGTTGTATCACTTTTCTATGTATTTTAGAAACAGAGGGAAATAGTTGAATAAATGCCTGAAAATCACCAGCAGTCATTTAAAAACCTATTTTTTTAGACAATATCAGGAGTTACAAAAGACTCTGTGATGGATCCTGAAATAAAAGATATAGAAAATATCGCTTTTTCAAGAATAAAATAACGTGTAGATGTACAAAATGCAAAAAAATTTAATCTTGTTTTTAACATATTTGCTGAGTTTAAGAAAATGAAATGCTCTGCTCCCATCTGCAGCCATTATAACAGTAGATTTACTAGTTATTATTCACTAACCTTAAGTGTGCACTAACTTTCGAAGGGAGACATGAATACACTTGGGGGTAAAACATACAGTATTTTTTGTTTACTCATGAGTTTAAAGTATAACATTTTAACATCTTTTCATTTTATTTTTGATCAATCTAAGAGCTAAAGCTGCTTTCACATATACTTCTGTTGTTCAACCACCTCTAAGTAAATAAGAAGTTCTTTCTACTTGATACTAACTTAATATGGTTTTTCAATGCAAGCCTTTCAAAGCTTCAAGAGCATCAATTTGCAAATCCCCCAACAGTCCCGGGAAGGAGAAGCTATAGGGAAACATGTAACCCAACAGCTCTCACCTGAGATCCAGCATAACGAAGGGACCCCAGCTGGTGGCCTTTCATTTTCTCATATATTTCTCTCTTAAAACATAAATGCACAATAGGAAAATTAAGTAGAGAAACAATTCCATATACAGAATAGCACGGTGGGTTCTGGACTTTGACGCCTTTCAAACCCCAGTTATTTCGTGCTGTAGCCAAGTTGAGTGAGCTGGGTGTCACCTCCACTTTGAAGCCTTCCCTGAGCCACCCCCCAACTGCCCCTGCCTGCCCCCACCCCGACCGTGGACGATCTGCATTATAGCACTGGCACATTTAAACTGTCCATATCCATTGGCTTCTACGCCACACAACAGACTCCTAGAGAGTGGGGGGAGTGAGTGCCTCCATCACCTGTGTCCCCATCAACTGCCACAGCCACATGACAGAGAATATGCTCATAAATGTGGAAAGGACAAATACTTACATTCTCCAAAATCCTCGTTTTATTTTCTAAATCCCACTTGGCACATTTAGACTGAAGCTACTTGCCGTCTAGAACAAGGATGAATCAAGCCTTTTAGATTTTCTAGTAAATTTTCAGGTGGTGAGAAACGCAGGTACTAAGACTCAAAGTGGAGGGAAGCTGGGAAGTAGAGACAGGTATGAGGGGTGCATTCAGGACAGGACAGAAAGAAGGTGAACGGGAGATTCCGAGGCTGGGGCTGCTGCCTCATCCCCCCAGTGTCTGCGCCTGTGCTTCTACGAACTGACCTCCAGTGGCTTGGCCTTCTGCCTTTCTGTGGTGCTCAAATACTGGCCCCCACCAAAACCCAAGAGTAAACCTTACACTCCCCCAAGAGGGATAAGGGAACAAAAAGAAACATCAAAACTCAATTTCCATCTTCATCTTTAGACAACACCCTAGTAATATAGTAAGTGCTGATTACGTGCCAGGTACTATGCTAAACGTTTTGTAAATCATGTCCTTTTTTTGGCATGCGGCTTGCAGGATCTTCGTTCCCCCACCAGGGATCGAACCCAGGCTCAAGGCAGTGAAAGCGCCGAGTCCTATCCACTGGACCACCAGGGAATTCCCAATCATGTCATTTTACTTTATTTATTTATTTATTTATCTATTTATTTATTTTTTTAGGGGGTCTTCGTTGCTGCGCGCGGGCTTTCTCTAGTTGCAGCAAGCCAGGGCTACTCTTCGTTGCGGTGCGCGGGCTTCTTATTGCGGTGGCTTCTCTTGTTGCGGAGCACGGGCTCTAGGTGCGCGGGCTTCAGTAGTTGTGGCTCGTGGGCTCTAGAGCGCAGGCTCAGTAGTTGTGGTACACGGGCTTAGTTGCTCTGTGGTGTGTGGGATCTTCCCGGACCAGGGCTCGAACCCATGTCCCCTGCATCGGCAGGCGGATTCTTAACCACTGCGCCACCAGGGAAGCCCAATCATGTCATTTTAATTCACACAACAATCTAACAAGTTAGTTCTTCTTGTTAACGCTTATCCCCATTTTATAGAAGAAAAAGCTGAGGCTTGAGGTTGCTAAGTAATTTGTCCAAGGTCCCAAAGCAGGAGAGATGCAGGTTCAGGATATGAAACTGTAGTGATTCACAGCCCGTGTCCATGAGAATTCTTTCCTGAACCTCAATCCTGGATGACACCATCTCGATTCTCTCCCTCACTGATGTTAAAGTTAACATTTAGGGGAAAGGAGAAAATGTTTGCTACAATCTGACCGCTGCTCACCTCTGAAAAAGAAGTGACAAAAGGCCAGATGTCAGCTCCAGGCCCCAATGTGTGTTAAAACGGTAAGAAAATCCCCACGTGACTGGATCACAATAGCCCATTCTAGAAAATTCTGAGACCTGAGGTTCAAAGCAGACTATTTCTGTTTTTAAACAACAGCTCCATTGGCCTGCTAGCTTCAAACCCTAGCATCTAATTTGTGATCCTGCGAAAGCCTGTTAGGAGGATTTCCATATAAAAGCATCCAGCACAATCAACTTCTGGCCTTTCCCACACACAGATCCGCAGGACCGGGCTGCCTCTCCAGCACGCCAGGGGCACTAGGTGTTTAATTTGGAATCTGATAGCTGCCTAAATTTTGAGGTATCCCGTAGGTGCCGCACACAAAGAATCCTCAATGGCCACTGGTAGAAATTCTTAGAAAAACAATCCTCCTGGTTGTCGGAATCACAACTACCACTTTCACTCCCCGCCTCCCTGTCATGGAAGAGGCTGTTGTGACTTGAATTACAGGGGCCCATGTGGACTACCTGCCGTCCAAATGCGCATGTGACAATGGACACTCCTTTGCTGGCCGGCGGTGTTATTTCAGACACTGTTGGACAGATGGGCTCCGTTCCGAGCAGGGGAAGAGCCACACCTCGGAGATGACGTGTTTTATAGGGCTGTCTCCTCGCCGCACACAGAGTATCGTCATCATTTTGCCAGGGCTGGGGCAGACATCCGAACATCAGCAGGACAGCTTCTCCCCCATCCTGTCTCCAGCCTCAGGGCCTGCATGCAATTTCGGGGATCCTGGTTGTCGGCTGGCCCCCCGCCCGCTCCTGTGGCTGCCATGTGTGGGGCATGTGCCTGGGCCTCGGCAGCTGTTGGAACACAGTAAATCCATTCATACTGACATATCCCAATGACTAACACGGGCTTAGTGAGGAAACAGAAGCGTTTGACAAGCAGAAACAACTGAATTACTTTTAGAGGGGTGAGGAAATGACACCCCCAAAGGGCTTGATCTTGCCATTTGGCTTGGATGGGGGGACTCACCATGGGAGGCCACCCGGATGTCACCCCAGCCACCTACCATCATTAATTCTGAGCGGAAGAGGAGCCCGGCCGGTGTTTCGGCAACAGGAATGAGAGGCCTAAAGAGATGGTTATTGGAGACCACGCTGGACATGAAGAAAATAAATCACTCAAACCCAAAGACTTAAAGTGAGAGGCAGTCTCACTTTGTAGTTTGGAATGTGGGCTTTGGAATCAGACAGAACTGGGGTTCAAATCCTGGTTCTGCCACTTATCTCGTGATGAGCCGTGAAACCACTAAGCCTCTGTTTCCTCGCTTGTAAAATGGGGTATGGTAATGGCATTCCTAGCTAATGGAACTCTTTCAGGAATGAGTGAGACCATCGGATAAAACATTCAGTACAGTATGTGTGTGTATAAAGCCTGATGTACAATAAGCACTTAATTCACCGTTGGTTGTCATCATAATAGTACATTTCAATGAGAGGACAATGAACTTTGTGTTTGTCCACACATGCAGACAGGTAACAGGATTCACCTTGCGCTAACTGATGTAGCTCCTGAAGCAGCGTGGAATCCAAAGGAAGCTCGACGCTTACTGCTTCAAAACACACTTCGGGCTTCCCTGGTGGCGCAGTGGTTGAGAGTCCGCCTGCTGATGCAGGGGACACGGGTTCGTGCCCCGGTCCGGGAAGATCCCACTTGCCACGGAGAGGCTGGGCCCGTGAGCCATGGCCGCTGAGCCTGCGCGTCCGGAGCCTGTGCTCCACAAGGGGAGAGGCCACAGCAGTGAGAGGCCCGCGTAACGCAAAAAAAAAAAAAAAAAACACACTTCCTCATCAGGACCCCACCACCGCCACCTTCTGCAGAACCTGGATCATGAGGTGAGTTGGAGAACCATCTAGGGCCCCACCAGGCTTGGTGTTCTGAATCAGACCTCAGCAAACGCTCTCCTGCCTAATGTGGATCATTGTTAAGAACATGTCCCCACGTCACTGCCATAAACTATAGGGCAGTAATATGCATGGATCTTCACCCATGGCTTTTGGGATGTTTCAGCCCACGGAACCTACTGGACTGGATGTTATTAACAGGTACCATACAAATAGAGTACTCCAGGTTCCCTCAATGCTGCATCAAGTACACATGATTTTACTCCCCTGCGACAGCAGTTACCATAATCTCCACTTGTGGAGTGCGCCTACTGATGGTGTTCCTTTTGGACATCGTAAGTCCACCAGTCAGAACCCACCAGAGCCCCCATCTCGAGCCAGCAGAATAGGGGAGTATGTCTTGTTCACCCCAGCTGTCTACCCCAGGAAGCCGGCCAGGGAGGTCACGGACAGGGCAGTTTATAACCAACTCTGATGCAATGAAAACGGGAATTACCCATGATTAACATCTAGAAATAGGCTGGAGAGAATATGACAAGAAGAGAAACATAAATCTGATTATGCAAAAGGATGAAAGTGGAAAGCTTTGGAAGAATTCCGCTTGCTTCCAGGATGGCCTTCTCCCGTGACCTCCTCCTGCGGCCACGCCAGGGCGGGCTGTGTCCACAGCTTCCCCCAGCTCCCTAACCGCCAGCTCTAGCTGACTCTGCTCATCCTTTCCTGGTCCTGTCTCGGGCCTGTGGTCGGGGCATCAGGGTTGCTTTGGTTCTTCCTTCAAAGTTCATCACTAAAGAGGCATCTTGATTCCCCTGCCATATTTTAGTTGAAGCTCATGTATTTTCTTAATGACGAAAGTATGAAAACTGATGTGGTTCAATGGTCCTCTCTCTCCCATCGTGACCCAGCAGACACCCAGTGCTTGCTCCCTTATGAGCCTCCTTGTCTCCTCCTCCTTCTCCACCACTGACACTCCTTATTTGCTCTGGCAGCTGTGTACCTGGGGAGCATTCGAGTCTTGCGCCGAACCAGCACAGAATCTACTGAACTGAACCTAGCGGCTCCAGGTTTCATTTTAGCCTTCCCCCTTCCATAGTTCTAACCCCCTTGACTCTTTACAGCCACTAATCAACGCCAACTGTTTGAAGATGCAGGACAGAAGAAATTCTGAAGGCTGCCGCTTCCTTATACCTCCCTGAGAGCCATCTTTGAGGATTTAAGGCAAGAGAATTATTGAAACACATTTCATTGATTTATTATTAATTGTCCCTTGGGTAAGCACAGAAAGTACCAAGCAGAGGAAGGCTGCATGACTTGTGGTCACTGAAACACTTTCAAGTGTCTGCCCAGATCCTGAATTTCTGCCATGAACAGGGGAACCAAAATGAGGAAACACAAGTTATAGAGATTAGACTCCAGGTGAAGAGGAAGGGGGTGTAGGAAGGAGGTGTGGGGTACAGCTTGCTGAGTAGTGGGAGCAGAGACCACGCAACTGAGGCAGCTGGCAGAGGAGGGAGGTGGAGGCTTGCTTTGGGAGCGAAGCCAAAGTCTACTGTCAGGGTGTGGGATCCAGAAAAATCCCACCGGTTAACATGAATAAATGCCCACCAGCAGAAAGACAAATACTGCTTCTGGTCCAAGAAACAGAGGCCTGAATGGCCAAGGAAAGTAGATTCTTATCTTCGGGCAAGGGCCCAGCGACACACCAGCTCAGAAACATGTCCCAAAGGAAGGGAGCATCGTTACTGCCAGCTGAGCATCTCCGAACCCCCATCCATGGAGGAAACAAGACGTGGGATGAGAAATAGGTGCGCGTGCGCACAAACGCACACACAAGAAAATAAGTGTTAGCCTGCTGCCTGATCGCACCCAAATAAGGCAGACGTGCCCCAACCAGATGTACCAGGCCTCTTCCAGAGAACTCATTTGTTGTGGGCTGATTTCTACTTCCTGGTGCAATTTACTTGGGAAAAGGGGCCTTTCATCGTTGATATTCTGTGAACTGGCCGGAACCAGATAGACAATAATGAACTTTACAAACCTGATTTTGCAGAATCTGAAAAACACCCCTTGACTGTCGGTCCTCAGTACTTCCTTTCTGCTCACCCAGAGTCTTCTATCTTTTATTGATTAGCACAAGCATCGCATGAGCCCCTTCTTAGGGCAAGGGACTAAATCCAACAAGAGGTACCATGTTGTTTTCATTCCCCAAGGATTTCACAGGTAAGTTCCACACTGTGCTGGGGGGTGAGGGGGGATTGTTTTTCTCAAAGGCAGAAAACAGTCCACATGCTTGTGGTTTTCTACTAACTCAACCTTTACTCACACTTTGCCTGATCTGTAACTCAAACTCAGTAAACAGGCCTTTTAGGGAACTTGTAAAACCTAGGATACTTTCAGACAATTGGATGAATGTGGAATAAATCAACCATTAGGGAATAAAAATGATTTGGTTGTTACGTGAGATATATGTGTCTTCAAGTAGTATCACTGATCCTCAGTCTCCTCTGAATACTAATTAAAAAAAAGACCCAGGGCTTCCCTGGTGGCGCAGTGGTTGAGAGTCCGCCTGCCGATGCAGGGGACACGGCTTCGTGCCCCGGTCCGGGAAGATCCCACGTGCCGCGGAGCGGCTGGGCCCGTGAGCCATGGCCGCTGAGCCTGCGCGTCCGGAGCCTGTGCTCCGCAACGGGAGAGGCCACAACAGTGAGAGGCCCGCGTACCGCAAAAAAATAAATAAATAAATAAAGGGATCAAGATGGTAGATTTCATGTTATATGTTTTTTAATCACAATAAAATAAACGCAGATACTTAAACAATTATCAAGATGACCACAGCAAGTGTGGAAAAAGTGGAAACAAGAGTGGGACAGTTTTCTCATTTGTTTTCATGGACAGTTTTGACAGCTATAAACTTCTACCAACAAAACTCAGGAGTACTTTCACAAGAAAGGAGTTCTGAAGGGTGATGTCACCAGCAAAGTCCCCATCAATCATGACAAGTGGTTTTGCTGATAGATGGCTACTGCCTGGCTCTCCCCAAACCACTGCCCTCCAGCATGGCTTCACTGTAGTTCCCAGTCAGAAATATCAGGGTTGGAGGGAGGAGAGGAAGGAGAGAAGGGGGCTGGCATTTACAGAAGACTGGTGCCAGCTGCTTTACAGAAGCTACTGCATTTAATACAAGTCAGTGAAGTGCCTATTTACTGTAGCCTTTTCATCAAGAGAAACTGAGGCTCAGAGAGAGCAAATACCTTGTCCAGGGTCACGTAATAAAGACCTGATTTGTCTGTTTCCAGAGCCCAGGCTTTTTCCACAACCGTTTTGCCCTTGATCTCTACAACTACAAAACCGAGAGCCAACCATCTAGAACCCTGAAGCAAAGTGTTTTGTTTTTTTTTCTGTGCCCCATTTGAGAGCTTAATTATAATATAACTAGAATTGGGCTGGAAAAGTGACCTCAGGTGTACTCCCTAGATCTGAGATCCACCTGCTGCCCAGGGGTACTGCGGAAATGGGTCACTGGTGTGCCACGACCCTGGGCATGTCCTCAGCCGTTGTCAGGTCAGTCAGGATGCAGCCTGGAACACAGGAGTGCACTTCAGATGGTGAGCAGCTTTGTCATTTACCTGCTTGTGTCATAAAACATCACTTCCTGTGAATGCCGTAAGTGAAAAAACTTGGGAAGCATTCTGCCTTGGATTTAGAAGCAAACTGCCTGGATTAAAATCCCAATTCCACCGCTTCATAGCCGCACAGCCTTACCTGTGTGTGCCTCAGGCTCCCATCTGTAAACTGGGAATGGAAATAGCACTTTCCTCACGGTGTAGTGAGAATCAAATAAGATAAAATATACAGAGCTGTCAGCGTACCATCTAGAAGTAATCACTCAGCAACAATTCGCTGAGCCGATGGGTACAGCCACACGCGCTCTGTGTGCCCCAACTCCAGGGCACCATTCACTCAGGCCGTAGTGTGAATAGCACCCCCTGGAGTTGTGCAACTGTGCATCCCTGACCGTTAGCTTTGCATTTTAATGACCGTCTTCCACAGTCAAGCTCCAGCTTACTCCCCTGCTTCATTATCTGCCACTAGCTCCCCAACCCCCATCCCATGGACCATCTTACCCTCAAACACAATGGTCCCATTTACAGCCCCTTGGATTTTCATCTGTGCTCCTTCTTCCTGGAATGTTCCCCTGCTCTCCCCTCTTTCCATTCTTACTCAACCTTTAAGACCCAGACTAAAAGAAGTCCCCTCCTCTCTGAATTATCCTCTGATGCCCAGGCAGGGTTGCCCCACCGTCAGTATTCCCAGAGCACTTTGAAAATACTCTAGTAGAAAGATCACACAGTTCATCCGCATACAGGTCTCCCTTGCTGAGCTGTGAGCTCCCAGCGCTCAGATGGAATCTTCCTCTTCTTGGCATGGACTTGAGCAACGCGCCCTGCTCCTGTCCTGCAGCCACATCTACATCACACGTTCAGAAGACGAGGCTGAGAGGGACTCTGTATTGTCAAGGCAAGTGTGGGATGCAGCACGCAGACCAACTTCGGAATCCAGGAAATACCCTTGGCCGTGTCCGAGTGAGGCTCATGTCCCCTGAGGATGGCACTAAACGCAACAGAGGTAACGGGGCCTCCGAAGGAAGGACTTGTGGCCTTAAAGTACCCGGTCCCCTGGCACAGGAGATGCCAGGCTGCCAGCAGTTACTTAGGATGGGCTTCGCTTGGTATATGAGAGTGAAAACCAGGAAATGCGGCCTAGTTTCTCTTTTGAAATCCCTCCCTTGGTTAGATTTGAATCTCATGTCTGTATGCTTTGTTTCAAACTAAATACCAAAAGTCTCTCGCTTCTGTTATCTCCCTGACAGTTCTTCAATATACTCTATTAAAAACTCTCCGGGGACAAAAAAAATGCACTTTCAAGTGGTGTTTAGAAACTTGCCACCCCTTGCCTTTCTTCATTTCTGAATCTCTTGGATGCTTCATAAACAAAGGAGAAAAGTGCTGCTTCTGTGATAAATACGTACACAGGATTCCTCTGTCTTACAGAGAAAACAGTACAGACCCAGCTGTTTCCCAATAGTCATAGGACTCATACCTAATGCCGACAGACTACCAAGCGTATTTGCACAAACTATCACACACAGCACATGGAATCTACAGCTGTGGCCGTGAAAGAAAACGGCATGTTCTCCTTGTCAAAATGCCCTCTCCTTGCCAGCCCCCTGCACCAAACTGAACAACCACAGGACCTGAATTTAACAGGTGATGTTTCCCTTTGCTCTTCTGGATGTTATGTATACTCAGGAGTAGCTCTCTCTGGGTTGTTCAAACATTTCATTTATTTATTTAGTATTTACTGAGTATCTACTATGTACCCCACATAGTCATGGATTAAAGAGATTCTTGCTTAGCTTCTGTATTAGGATTTCTCAACCTTGGTACTGTTGCCATTTTGAGCCAGATAATTCTTTGTCATGAGGCTGTTCCATGCCTGGTAGGATGTTTAGCAGCATCCCTGGCCTCTACACATGGGATACCAGCAGCACCTCCACCCCCAGTCGTGACAACCAAAAATATCACCAGAAGTCAGTGAAAAGATTTAGGGGAGGAGAGAGGGACGAAAAGGTAGAGCACAGAGGATTTCTAGAGCAGTGAAACTATCCTGAATGATACCATAATGGTGGATATGTGTCATTATACAATTGTCAAAATCCATAGAATGTACAACACCAAGAGTGAACCCTAAAGTAAGTCTCTGGGGACTTGGGGTGATAATGATGTGCCAGTGTTGGTTCGTTAGTTATAACAAATACGCCAGCCAGTCCCGTGTAGGCTGTTGATAGTGGGGGAGGGCAGAGGGTAATAGGAGAACCCTCAGTACCTTCCCCTCAACTGTGCTGTGAGCCTAAAACTTCTCTGAAAAATAAAGTCTATTAAATTTTTTTTATTTTAGGTGAAAAAATGTTTTCAAGCATTGCCAATTGTCCCTGGAGGACAAATTATTTTTCATCCTGTTATAGACATTATCCTGCTCACAACAATACATTTCTAAAAATTGTGGTAAAATATACACATTATAAATTTTACCATTTTAACCATTTTTAAGAGTCTGTTTCAGTGGCATTAAGTACATTCACAGTCTTCTGTGCCATCACCACCATCCATTTCCAGAACCCTTTCATCATCCCAAACTGAAACTCTGTGCCCATTAAACACTAACTCCCCATCCCACTCTCCCCCCAGCCCTGATAACCTCTCTTCTACTTCCTGTCCCTATGAATTTGACTACCCTAGGTACTTCATTTCAGTGGAATCCACAATATTTGTCCTTTTGTGTCTGGCTTATTTCACCGAGCATAATGTCCTCAAGGTTTATCCATGTTGTAACATGTGTCAGAATTTCCTTCCTTTTTAAGGCTGAATAATAGTCCATTGTATGGATACATCTCATTTTGTTTATCCAGTTTTCTGTTGATGGACACTTAGGTTGCTTCCATATCTTGGCAATTGTAAATAATGCTACTATGAATATTGCGGTGTATATATCTTTTCAAATTAGTGTTTTAGGGGTTTATTTGATATATACCCAGGAGTGGAATTGCTGGGTTGCTGGGTCATGTGACAGTCCTATTTTTAGTTTTTTGAGAAACCTCCATACTGTTTTCCACAGTGTCTGTACCAATTTACATTCCCACCAACAGTGTACGAGGGTTCCCGTTTCTCCACATCCTCACCAACATTCGTTATTTGTGTTGTTTTTGATGATAGCTCTTCTGACATGTGTAAGGTGATACCTCATTGTGGTTTCTTTTTTTTTTTTTTTTGCGTTACGTGGGCCTCTCACTGTTGTGGCCTCTCCTGTTACGGAGCACAGGCTCCGGACGCGCAGGCTCAGCGGCCATGGCTCACGGGCCCAGCCGCTCCGTGGCATGTGGGATCTTCCCGGACCAGGATACGAACCCGTGTCCCCTGCATCGGCAGGCAGACTGTCAACCACTGCGCCACCAGGGAAGCCCCCTCATTGTGGTTTTGATTTGCATTTCCATGATGATTAGTGATGTTGAGCATCTTTTCGTGTGCCTGTTGGCCATCTACCTTTCCTCTTTGGAAAAATGTCTATTCAGTTCTTCTGCCCATTTTTAAATTGGGTTGTTTGATTTTTTAATGTTGAGTTGTATGAGCTGTTTATATATGTTGGATATTAATCTCTTATTGGTCATATCATTTGCAAATATTTTCTCCCATTCAGTAGGTTGTCTTTTCATTTTGTCAGTGGTTTCCTTTGTTGTGCAAAACCTTTTAAGTTTAATTAGGTCCCATTTATTTACTTTTGCTTTTATTTCCTTTACTTTAGGAGATGGATCCAAAAAAATATCACTGCGATTTATGTCAGAGAGTGTTCTGCCTATATTTTACTCTAGGAATTTTATAGTAGCTGGTCTTACGTTTAGGTCTTTAATCCATTTTGAGTTTATTTTTGTAAATTATGTTAGAGAATGTTCTAATTTCATTCTTTTACATGTAGCTGTCCAGTTTTCCCAGCAC